TTGTAAGGGCCATATAAAACATTGGCAATATCACGTAAGCTTTTCCTCCTTCGGTTAATGTTTGTTGTATTGCAGTCGCAAAACCCATAAAACCGGCATTAGGCTATAAGTATTTTACGAAATGTGCGCAGACTCATACAACAACACACGAAGGAGAATTTATAATGCGTACCAGAACACGCGGGGTTTGCACATCGATTATTGAATATTTGTAATTCTGAATGTTCTTAGACGAAATAGGAACCATAAAGTAACATATTCCATGCAAGCTTTGCCATGAGCACCGTCCACATAAGCACAGAACATAACGCAAACAATGTGAAAACTTAGGCGTATAACTTTCCAAAATATAACTTTTTCATTAACCCTTTAAAGCCCATTCTTAATTATATGTACCAACTGCTCTCACATTAAACAAGTGTATTCTACTTACAGTCTGGATTCGATGATTTCTTATAATTCTCAAAAAAGCAGACGTTTTCTGAAACAGCATTAACCAACTTATCTTTGCGGTAGAAACTTAATGTTTAAGTAATATTTAGATGACCTTCGGTCTTTAAAGCGCTACTTTCAAGAAAGAAAACCAGCGAATTCCTACAACAGCATGGACCGTCCACTATTACCATTACAACGTACGGACAAATGCTATAAATTAGCCACGGTAGTCTAGCGGTTAGAACGTTGGCCTTGTAATCCTGGGGTCTCGGGTTCGATTCCCGGCGGTGCCGGAATTTATAACTTGTGTTGGGCAAGGCCGTGGTCTAGGCAACACGGAGTTTTCCTCCGGGGGCTTCCCCGGTTTCTCCGTGGCATCCCAACAATTACTCCATTCACACACAGAAGCAGGCAATGGCAAACCACTTCTGGATCATCTGCCAAGAACGTATATGAACAGGTCCCAGTCCGAGAAAAGGATGGAAGGATCCTGTTCATATGGACGTGGACCTGTCGTCAGACAGAACACTAAATAAATAATAATAAAAGGCTATAAAGAGCCATGTACGATCAGCAAGTGCGCAGGTAAAGTGTGTGACGTCATAACTGTGGAAAGCATGAGTAAACTAAGCAGTTGATATAGCTAAAATGTCGAATTTTTTAACTGCCGTTATTGGTAAAATTCGCAGTACGACTGATATTGTACTGGGGAAGTGGAAGATGGCTGTCTTCTGGGTTGTCACGCCGTCATCTCCCTGATGATGGAGGCAGCAAGGACCTCTGAAACGTCGGTAAACTTCTACCAGACTACACGGCGCTACAACCCAGAAGACAGAAATCTTCAGACTAGCCACCATGAGAACCTTAAACTCTACATTGGGGAAGCAGTTTTCGCTTTTCATTTGTTTTTGAAGCACAGTTAATTCAAACGTTAAATAAACAAGGCCTTTTGCTTCTCCCAACTTCAATTAGGAACAAAGTCCAGCACATCACTCAGGTCACGCGGAAGCTATGACTGAAGAATGCTCACGTGTTATCAACGTAGCCTAATTGCTCAGTCCAGTTAATTTGTTCCTTTATTTAACACAGTTTAATTGCGAATTTTAACTTTTCGCCTATGGGGCACTTAAAATCGATTTATACTGACGATACGTCATGGCACGTTGTCACGAAAAACGACTAGCCTAATACGGTTAGCATGGTCGCTCCGCCCCTGGTGATGATATGAATTAAGGTTTCGGAGACTTGGATTACAGGTTTGCTCTTTCGGTGAGCGACTATTCACTTGAACCAACGACGTTTTTCCAGGCCTGCTGCTGGTGGAAATCAGGAAAGCAGTTCCTTCACTTCAAGCGAATTAATTAACGTTAATTCGGTCACTATTAAATTTACCAGGGACTATCAACAAATAATAGGTTAAAATGTAAAATTCACACATTATCAAATGTCAGGCCTTTCTCTTAGGGTTATTGTTGTTACCATAGCAACAAGGTGTATGATATATTTCGATTTTGTTTAAAATCCCTCATATTTTAGCTATGCTCTTTATTTTCCATCTATATGAGCTTTTAACTTAGCCTTTACCTTGTATGAAGCAGGTGAAAACATATTCCAGTAACATAAATCAGACAAAAAGTGCAAATAATACCAACAAATTTCCAACAATTCCTATCTTTTCTTATTTATAAATGACGTAATCTTGTCAGCTATTATCTAACCCAGTGTCAACCTCATAATCAACTCTACGGATCTGAAGCTCGTCTAAATAATATTTATATATTCATATCGTACAACAAAGAAAACGAAACCCGTCTCCATTACGAGGGTCAATTGGTTAACACTCTTTAAGGAAATAATCACTACTTGAATGTGGCTGTCTTCTGGGCTGTTACGCCCGCTTAGTCTGGTGAAAGTTTATCGACGTTTCAGATGTGCTTAATCACTCAATCACTATTTATTCCCAAAATAACAGGACACTCATAAATACACTCTACGGTCAAAATGCAGAGCAGGTGGTATACACAATTACCATTGGGCTCTAAATGTTAACATTGTCGAATTTAGTGCGGGTGTGTCTGTACACGGTTCAAATATCGTAATTCGCCAAAGAATTTAATGCTGCTAGACGTATGTAATGCGGCGACAGGAGATGCTAGTGGTATATAAAAAGAGCTGTACTGCACCCACGTAAATCTCTCAGAACATGGAAGAACTTACGAGAGTCGTTGAAGAACGTAATGCCGCCGCCATAAAAGAAAACAACGCGACGCGATTGGTCCAACTGTGGAGCTCATTTTCACCTACAAGGCAAATACATTGCTGCAGATGGTCCGTATTTTTTACAGTTAGAGCGTGGACAATCTTACAATTACCATAAAAGATATGAAAATTTTGAAAGATTTGAGGTTCTCACAGCGGTGAGTATGAAGATTTCTGTCTTCTGGGTTGTTGCGCTGTGTAGTCTGGTAGATGTTTACCAACGTTTCAGAGGTCATACTGCCTCCGTCATCAGGGCGATTCATCTACCAGACTACACAGCGCAACAACCCAGAAGACAGAAATCTTCATATGGAAATTTTGTTCCTGCAAGATATTAAGTGATTGTAACAATTTGTAAACACATACATGTTTTAATTTCTCATTGTACATTAAATGATATAAGGCATTCAATTTGTCAGGCAGCTCGCTGCTAAATTTTGCAGATGACTTTCAACAAATTTTCTAAAAAAAATATATGACAGTGACGCCATTGAAAACATCAAGTATTTTGCGGGGGTTTTATTGTCATCCTATTAAAATTCTGTGATCAATTTCCATCCATATTCCACGGTCTGTTATTTGAAAAATACGAATGCAATCACTTTGCTTAGTTATTTGAACCAGAGTGTTGAAAATATACTCAGGAAAGTTCGGCCAAACTGCGACCCTGGAAACAACCTGACACCCCTGGTGGGAATAAAATCCTGGGTGAACATTCTGTGGCCCGTCACGAAACTGGGTAAGCGGCTATTGTCTGAAGGAGGCGAGTGTTAAAGCGCGGATGTACTTCACTTGCGCAGCGGATGCCACATCGCGATGGGCTTCCTCAGTGAAGACAGCATCTGATTCCAGTGCGACAGCGCTTTTCCTGACGCCTGGGTTCCGACTATGACGTGTCCTATAGGACACGTCCGAGACTCTCCTGTGCTCTCTGCGACTGTCACACGCAGCTGGATTGTCTGAAAGCGAAACATCAAGCTGGCTTACTCCTACAATCGCAAACCCTGCTTGAAGTTCTTGCTTTTCTCTTTGTTACTGGAGATTTATTAATTCAAGCCCGGCAAATTTGTTCTTTCGTAACGACTGAGCAGTAGACCTAAGCGTGCGGCTTGGAATATTGAAAAATCTTATATCGATGTTCTTCTTCACTGCATCTAAAAGGAACTGAGCAGCGGCAGGTAGCAATTTGGTTTTCGTTCATAAATGAACAACTTCATTGGCCTCTATAGTGAAAATTCGAATCCATACCCTCCAACTGTATTTTCAAATTATTCGTTTTAATATTATCCTTCCATCTACACTTTGGTCTTCCAAATTATCTTTTCCTGCCTGGATTTCAAAGCAAAATTTTGTACGCATTTTTCCTCTCTCCCACGCGTACTTTTTGCCCCAACAGACTCATCCTCCTTGATTTCATCATCTTTGATCAGCCTTTACAAACAATAATTATCTTTAAGATCGTGTGCATCAAACGTTTCCTCTTTACTAGGTGAAATAGCAGGGACTGCAGAAATTAAATGAGAATGAATGGCTAATGACAGTAATCGGAAAAGTCTGTTGTAAAACAAGTTTCATCTGCAGGCATTCACAAAACGCAGGTATTGAAGTTTGGCCAAAATTGAAAAGACTTTTTTTCTGATTTACCTCTCTTGCTGCATATACACATTTTGAATGATTTCACAGGGATGAGCGCTTCCGTCTGATCATTCGAGCACAGATATTTTGAAAAACATTTCGGAATCTATGAAGATGCGTTTGCTTCAATCCATTATTGAAGCACATCCAAAAGCCGGAATAATAATCGATTAATCTATTACTTTAATCACGAGAACATTTCTTGTTATATGCATTAGAATGTGTTCTCTGATTCCACTGAACCTAGCACTCCCTCTGCTAAGTCTTCCCTAAATATTTCATATTCGATGTTTAGCTGTTTGCAGAAACATGGATTCTGACGAAAAGTTTATTTTTTTCGAAGATAGTGCATCGTATATGTTAGGAAGAAAAAAGGTATCGCTGTAATGTTGGTAATAATGTTTTCAGACGTCCTCGTTTGACAGGACTGTCATCATCGACTGGATTTAGCAGTCAACCATGTTGTCCGGAAATTAGTGAAACTGGTCATATGAAACGTTTCTTTGATGAAGTGTGAGTAGTTTGTATTCGGCTTCACCAAAAATCCGATATGAACTGGTCGAGTGTGGTCATTCATTGACTTTATGATTAAATGTAATTGGGCGTATGCTGGGAGTGCGGTGGGTTGCATCGTGTGCTAGACGGGTGTGCGCTCTGTGGCACGATCACAAAGCCCTTGTCAATCATATCCAGACCGCTAGTAATAACCCAGAAACAGCGAAGAGAGAGACACCTGAAAGGGACTCAGAATGATAAACGGAAATTTCTTTTGTGCCAAATATGGGCATTTTTTTATGCACTGACGGAATTTGATGATCTATTAGTAGAACTACAAAAACGTTCTACTTCACTTACACGCGCTCATAACATGTTGGAAATTTGTATTTACAAACGTATCTGTAGGTCGAATTTTAATATTATATTACAGTCTTGTTTGTATTTCAAGTGGATGCTTTTCAAGAAGTTCTCTACTGAAATTTTGAAAATATTTCTTGTTTACCCCATTAGAGCCACATGCTGAATCCATCTGAATCTGCTTCGCTTGTTTTAGTTGCTAAATAAGTCTGTTTAATTCACAGAAGGTAAATGAAGGAGAAAACAGCTTATGGTTTTGTTAGAATGTTCTACAGATTCACTATTACGAAATATTGGTGTTTTTATTTATTTAACGATAATAATCCAACTGCGCTGATCTAGTTATCGAATGTGATTAAAATAAGATAGGAAATGAATAATCACAAATACTCAAAAACGTTAATGAAGTTTCAGAGCCAACAAAGCCACCAGAGGTGTTGTGATTTAAAAAAAACAATTCTGAATCGAACCAGGTATCCCGTATCGTACACAAACACACCATCGCCTGAGTATTACGAGACAAATGAAGAAGCAGTAAAGAAAGTGGAAAATAAATCTGTCTTACAAAGAAACAGTGGAGCGTCAACATCTAATGGTTTGGTCAGGGAGACAGAGGAGGGTCCATTGTCTTTCTGCCGAATCGGAGGGTAAAATCGACCAACGCCCCTAGTAAGTGCACAGCAAACTGTGAGCTTAAGTGAGAACTTCCGCCTGCAGCATTCACGATACTTCACGCGTAACACTTGTGTCGGAGAAGTTGCCGCTACGTAAACGGTCAGAGAGTACACAATGTATTTTTGAGTAGGTTACTTAAATGTTAGACACACTCACAATTTTATATACTATACCATGTCCTTCTACAGAGACTACCAGATTCTCAAAAGGGCTGTGCTCCATGGGGTTAGTAATTCATATAATAAAACACGAAGAAGCTAATTTTGATATTTACTAACGTTTTTGTACCAGGAAAAGCTGTGCTGGAAGACTGGAGCACTAAATCTTAAATAAGCCTTTGGATAATGGGCAAGACAACAGTTCAGTTTCCTGATATGGCTGTATAGTCTTTCTCGTTTCCCATGAAAGCCTCACCGAGGCGAGTCTCGTATTGGGGATATGAATGTTATCTGCACAATTCTGTTATGTGGGATTCTGTGCACTGATGTCACTGGTCGTCATGACAACAGCAAGTGGGACTATTCTAAATACGTACCTACATTACTCTATTACAGTTCCATAACATGCCATGCTGAAGCAAAACCTATGTGGGAATAGTGTGTATATTTCTTTCCTTTTATGGCTGAATTAGAGCACAAAACGTAGCGCGTTATACATTAACACTGCTCAGATATTTATAATCGCGCTAGCGTAATAACGGACACAGTTCTAAGAGCTATGCTAGTTATAATATAATTTACGTTCTGAGTACTGCGTAGCTTGAAGACATGTTTCTTCCTTGAATCTCCCATTAACCTTATTCATTTTACTTAATTACAATTGATTTAACGATGTTGTCTGTACCTTGAAATATACACCGGCGAATGGCAGAATGATAAACAAACAGTAAACTGGAAGGGATTTGGAAGGACGCGGTCGTAGCCTAGTTTGTTATTATTCGAGTTCTTTATTAGATCAAGTGAGGAAATACACTAAACATCTCAGGATAGCTGGTATCCTGGTCGAGAATAGAACCCGAGACATATAAAGTATTAAGCAAAACTGCGAACCATTCAACCGAAACTTTCTGTGTCATAATTCCTGTTCATACCTACAAACCGTCTGCAGTATAAATCACACGTTAATTGTCTATTTTGTAAATGTTTACATTAAAAATGTTTCACTTCTTCGTGTTATAGATTTTATTGATTTTTACGTTCAGTTTTCTTTAAGCAATGGTAAAAAATTAGATATTTTGCCGAATTTAATGTTCGACACTGACCAAAAAGGTTTTAATGTAATACTTTTTAGTTTTCAGGGCCATTACTAACAACATTTGTTTTTCAATCCGTTAGTAGTAATAGTATTTTTGGGAATGAACTATTTGTGCACTCCCATACACCCTTTTAGAGAATGTAATTTATAAATCTGGGTAACGTAGGCAGCTTTCTCAGGAGGCGTTAACATTCTTTACATTATATGGAACTTGCAGAGTGCACTCAGTGCTACTGCAGGGAAATCTGACAGACGCTTACATTTCTCATCAGTCTTTCTAGACGGCAGCTTATGCTAGGCCTGATTATTGTAGGCCCGTTCCTCCTTCTCAGTATAGTTTCACCATAGATTTTTTGAATTCTGAAACGTATTTTCCAACGGCACACTGAGAAAAAAGCACTAATATTCACGTGGCTCTTTCATTTACAAAATTAATTATTAGAATCTATTAAGTCAGAATATGTTTGAATACGAATTTACATGTACAGCCTTTTAATGATGAAACTGTGAAATTCGGAATAAAAAGAGTTTGTTTACATTCGAAATAAATGATACAACTCGAACATTGGCATCTTAATTACAATATTTGATCGACACACAGCCAAGGAAAAAACATTTGTTTGCACAGCTTAGTCAAGCTCTGAAGCCCTGTTACATGTTTAAACACGAGATTGGAACTTCAATAACAAAAGAGAATTTACTACATAAAACCTTGCTCCAATATAGCGGGAAAATTCTTGGTATCGAGCGATACGCTGTACCAGTTGGTGTTCTCTGAAAGCTGAAGAACCCTGACTATTTGCACATTAAAAATAATATTTACACAAATGAAGGGAAAATCAAAATTACGTTGTGAAGCTCTTAAGTTCCTAAAGGTTACGCATGTGCTTCGTACGTGTGTCTATGTCATATATAAGCGGAGGATGATCAATAAGACACTCAGTCAATTCCTGGCACATATTCTATTGCCAAAAAGTAAATTACACCGAAATCGAAAAAAAAACAATGTTATATTAAATGCTGGAAATATCAATGGCGTTCAGTGTTTGAGTTTTTGTGGTGACGGAAAAGGTCACCAGTCGATTTTTTTGGCACAGGAGAATCGGGAAATGCATCCGAAAACTCTTTACGGCAAGTCAAATAAGTACGAGTTGCCAGGTAGTGTTCGACAATGAACACTGAATGCACTTGGGAAAAAGACATTCTTGCACCCTGATTGTTTAACGGGCTGGCGCGAGCAGGTTCCAACATGACGTGACCTGCGTGGTTCTTGTGTAGTCACACCGACATGTGAGTTTATTAATCCAATCGAATTTTACTGAATTGCAACCATCAATAAAAATTTTAATATGGGTTGCGTGACTTCTCCATTATCCCATATGTATATATATATATATATATATATATATATATATATATGCAT